ACAACTCGAAAAACTGCTGGTAATTTATGTTTTGTTAATTATGGTTCAAAATGTAAAACCTGGAAGGAACAGACCTTACATCTGAACAATCATTAGAGATATAAGACTCATGTTATCTGTGTACTGTGTTGGAACGATTATCTTCTAGTTCAAAAAAACCATTCACTATCTATCGCTAATCAAGTTAATAACGTACAACAAAATTTTATTGAAAATAGAGAACACTTAAAATTCTTATTAATGGTGGCACTTTTTCTGTCAAAACAGAGTTTAGCATTTCGTGGATATAATGAGTCTAACATTTCTAAAAACGAAGGGAACTTTTTAGAAATTTTAGATATGTTTGCTGATGATAAAAATTAAGATTACAGGCATGTTATGGACCCTACACTAATCCTTAGTATCAAAATGATTTTATAAGTAGTAAATAGCTCAACTTACAAGGCAGATTATATTAAACTCTATGAATAAGTTTGGCGTTTATACAATTATGGTTGATGAAACTAAAGACTTATCAATAAAATAACAAATGAGTTTTTTAATACGGTTTGTAGACAAAGAACAAAATATTTGTGAGAGATCAATTGGTTGATACCACATGGCAAATTCAAATGCTGAAAGTTTGGCAAGTGAAATAATTAAAATTCTATCAATAAATAAATTATCATGAACTGTATTGGACAATGCTACGATGGAGCTTCTGTTATGAGTGGGCAGTATTCCGGTGTTCAAGAAAGAATACGCTCCAAAGTTCCTCATGCCATTTATGTCCACTGCTATGCTCATCGTTTAAATTTATGTTTAGTGCAAACTCTACAAAGTATACCCCCCACTTATGTAATTTTTTCAATACAATTCAAAACTTGTATAAGTTTTTAATGAATGTGTAGACAAGGTATGAGCTATTTGTCATAGCTCAAAAAGATAAACAAATACCTGTAATTCATTTGGAACGGTTGGTAGAAACAAGATGGGCATATTGGTATAAATCATTACAAAAAGTTAATATGCGTTTTACTGAAATTTTAGAAGTTCTATCAATACTGAGTCATCAGGGAGATCAAACTGCAAGAGCTATTGGTATATTAAATGAAATTTCAAATATTTCATTTATAAAAACTTCTCATGCTATGGATATTTTAATACAAACCATTCCCATTCACTGTGCTTCAGTTGAACTTCAAAGCTCAAGTATTATACAATCTTCAGCAGTTAATTTGTTACAAAATGTAAAACAAAATATCAAAAAAATGCGTAACGATACATTTTGGGATAAAATAATAACAGCGCAAAATTAGTCGCTAAAAAAATGAAATAGTCTATGAAAATAGTTCAAGAAATAAAAGACCAATGAGATTAAATAGAAATCTTCAAGATTTTTTGGTTCCATCAACAATATTACAAGGGACTTTTGAAAATAACAGCAATACATCTATTGAAAATAACTAGCCATTGAGTATATCAAAATTATTTTTTATACTGCAATTGACAGATAAAAACCTAAATCAAAATTTTATTTGTATAAATTATTAATAAGTATCATTTAATTGAAAAACTAACTATAACTAACTACTTTTATCTGCATTAATTTGATAATATATTTTTTTTATTTTATTGTTTTAGGTTTTTGAATGAACTAAACCATCGCTTCAGCAATCCTAGCATTGATTATTTTAATTTAAAAAGTCCCCATTTAGTTACCTTTATTGATCATTATATACATTTTAAAATTAATAATGAAGATCTTCAAAGTGAATTTCCATCTGCAAAAAATTTAATAAATCATGCAAACAAAGACAGAGATGATGGAATTCAATACCTTTATTCTATTTCAAAAATTTTAAATCAACTTCCAAATACTTTTCAAGAAACTCTTAAAGTTATAAATATCCTTATGACTTTGCCTGTTACTACTGCATCCAATAAATGTTTTTTTTTTTTCTAAATTTAGTTAAAACCCATCTACGGCTAACAACGGGAAATGAACGGCTGAGTGATTTACTGGTCATTGCGGTTGAAAGTAATGTATCAGGTAAAATTAATTTAGATGATGCGGTCGATATATTTTCAAAAATGAAAAAGAGAAGATATCCTTTAATAAATTAATAATATTTTTCTTAACTAATAAAAATTGTTATACTTAATAGTTAACCGAGTTTTAATTGGTAAAGGATTGTACACAGTTGTTTTTATAAAATTATTACCCAGTTAATAAATAAGCTTGTAAAAATTAGACTAAAAAAAATCTTATTAAGTATAACAACGGAATAAGTGAGGTTGGGTATAATGCGGTTGCTAGCGAAGCGAGAGGTTTTTTTTACTCATTCGGGTCGGTCCAAACTCAAAACCTTTGCCCCCCTCTATTGAAAATTGAAATGACGCCACTGATGTGTATATTATATAATTTAGTCTTAAATGTACTAATTACATACAGTTGTATGTACAGAAAAACTAGTCAGAATAAATGTGCTCTAATAATCATAATTTGAACAAAAATTAAATGCTTTATATTTCAAAACTAAACATAGCGAATTATTTTTACAGAGAATTAAGGTGATATCATATCTACGGTTGTACCGAATTTCAAATTTACATTTGGACATAAAACGACAAGTAAAATATATTTTAATTTTGTATTTATACTTTACATTTTATATTTTTATAACATAAATCTAGTTGACATTTTAATTTTTTAATTTTGTTACTTTTAATGTTTTAAAATACAGATCAAAATGTTTATGAATCAAATATTGGTATGTGATTCAGACCAAATATCGGCATTTGGATTTTTCGATATCAATTTAAATCTCGTAACAACTGTGAGTTTACTGGTATATTTTGTAAACCATATATATTATTAAATTTCTTTTTCGTTTATTTGATCATTTTTTATCGAATTTAGGGGTCCTTAAAATTTGTATGTTCACGATCTATTTTCAATAGCAATACGCGAAGGTAACAATTAGCTTAGATCTCGGAAAACAACTAACTTATTGTCAAGTTATATGGATAGAGACAAATTTTAATTTTTCTTTAAATATTTAAATATGGATATCATAATGAATATATTTTTCGATACCGTTTTTTAATTTTTATTACAAAAGTTTTTATTGATTGATTTATTAATATAATATTTTTTTTCGTAAAAACACACCCTTACCAAACGGCTATGGCTAAATGGAAACTAGTAAATTTGTCTCAGCATGTGTTTTTTTATTTACTTATAGCTTTTAGGTCTTCTAAAGTATATAAATACTTAATTTGCTCTAAATCACTAAAGCTGAATTTTTGTTTCAAATTTCAAGTCTTTAAAAGGATTTAGAAATATAAGGATTAGAAAAATTGGGTAAAGTCATGACTGTAAAGATATTGAACACTTACATTGCTAGAACATTGGAGGGGTACTATACCTTACTCTCAGATATTAAGTTTTTCATTAAATGTTTGTTTACAGGTACTCGTATTATTTATTAGTGGAATAATCACAATGATACAGATGAAAAATCATCCAATGATGGAAAAATATAATAATGACACTACATCCTTAGGTTAGGTTAGGTTAGGTTGCGAAGCTACTTTTGTGTATCATACAGTAATTCACAATCACAGTTTTCGTTCTATGACTTGTACATCGGAACTGATTCGTCAATGTTTAAACGACAAAAAATTCACGTGTGCAAAAACAAAAACCAGGGAAATATTTGTCAACGTTATTTGCCCGTACATAGTTGATAATACTTTAAAAGAACTATCTTCTGCGAATTATATATCTATTTTAGTTGACGGTTCCAACCACAAAGCAATTAAACTAGTACCTGTTGTTGTTCGTTATTTTTTGCCTCATGTTGGTGTAAAAAACAAAATACTAGAGTTCTCAAATTTGCCCGGTGAAACATCTGATTTAATTACTTCTAAAATTATTGAAGTTCTTACTAAATTCGGATTAAAGCAAAAAATTGTTGCACTATCGGCTGATAACACAAACACTAATTTTGGTGGATTAAATAGAAAAGGAAAAAATAACGTGTACACAAAACTTCAGACAGAATTAAAAAAAGATATACTTGGATTAGGTTGCAACGCTCACATCCTACATAACGCTGTACAAATCGCGTCAGATAATTTACCTATTGACGTAGAAGCTATTACAGTTAAACTTTTTGGATATTTCCACATGTATACAGTGTGGGTAGAAAAATTAAAAGAATTTTGCGATTTTGCTGATGTCCAATACCGTGATATTTTATCACATGCCAAAACTAGATGGCTATCGCTGTCTCCTGCAATCGACAGAATTATTTTAATGTTTGATGGCCTAAAGTCGTATTTTATTTCACAAGATTCGAGTCCTAAGATATTGGTTGACTTTTTTCAAAACGTCACTGCTCTATTATATATGAAATTTATACAAAGTATGCTTAAACTGTTCAATAACTATATTCAAAAAATTGAAGGGGAAAACATTTCGGCATTTGAATTAACCCTTTCAGGACGGACGGGACGTTTGAGTCCCGGCTCTAAAACGTCTAATATTAAATAAACAGTAAAGCCGATTGAGCCAATCGTACTGACGGGACATCTGAGTCCCATGGACATAAGTTATAAAAAAAAAAATTTAATAATATCTATTTATACAACATTTATTGTCGTATACACATGAGGTGTAATGCATTATACACTTTTCAATCTTATCGCTGTTTTGTTTTCATTTTATAAATACACTTATCGTTTTCTTCGTAAATACAGTCAAAAATACGATTCAGATTATAACGAGTGTATATTACGTGTTTATATTTGTGGGGAATAAATCATTAATTCGTAAATAATCGTGTTTGAATCGACGGGACTCGCTTGTCCCGTCAGTTATCTACGTCTAGCTTTTCAGTGACCATCACGTATTAGTAATCGTACGATATTCGCGTAAATATTTTTACCACGTGTTATTTATTATTCGTATTTTTTAATTATTTTTATTGCACACGCACTTACATTTATTAAAAATGAATAATAAACTTATTGAAAACGACGTAGAAGAGTGGTTAGCTATGGATATTCCTGACAATCACATACTATCTGAGGACGAATACGACTTAGATGAAGATCAAATGGACGAAGAAGCCCCAAACCAGGTAGAAATAATTGATCGTTTATTTTTACCAACTGGCCAGGACATAGAAAGTAGTAGTAAGGATTTAGAATTATTAGAAAACAATGATGACATGCTAGTTTTTGATTTCCCTGAGTTCTCTAATGATAATAATGACGTTCCTACTAATGCTGATAATCCTAGTCTTATGAGAATTTTAAGACCAAGAACTTCTACTACACTTATAGAAAATAATGTTCAAAATAACCCGATAGTTATTGTTCCTAATTTACCGGTAACTCCAGACCCAGTACTTCAAACTGAAATAAATCGACAGTGGAGAAAGAAAGACGAAACCACTATTGAGTTACCGTTATATAATGAAAATAAAAGCTGTAATGTAGAGATGTTCAAGAATTGTAAAAGTGCGACAGATATTTTTGTAAAACTTCTAAATCCAATTATTGATCATATAGTTGATCAAAGTAATTTATATGCAACACAAAATAACAAAACACTAAAGTTATCTGCAGATGAATTAATGGGCTTTATCGGAATTAACTTTTGCATGGGATATCATAAGTTACCATCTTATAGACACTACTGGAGTACTGCAAAAGACCTACATTTTATAAGTAATTTCCGAAGTTATGAGCAGAGATAGATTTAGTGAAATTTTATCAAATATTCATGTAAATGATAATACCGCGATTCCAGCAAATAATAAAGATAAACTTTACAAGTTACGTCCAATGATAGATTTGTTAAATAAAACATTTTCTGAAGCATATAATGGAACACGCGAGCTCAGTGTGGACGAGTCAATGATAAAGTTTAAAGGACGTAGCAGTATAAAACAATACAATCCCATGAAACCTATAAAGCGTGGGTATAAATTGTGGTGTATTGCCGATCAAAAAGGTTACATTTTAAATTTTTTAATTTATCAAGGCTAAAATGAGGCCCTAGAACTAGAGTTCGAAGATTTCAATCTGGGAGAAAGAATAGTGCTAAAGCTAACCAAGCCATATAGGAAACAGTCCCGACTTATATTTTTCGATAATTACTTTACGTCTATAATATTACTGGAAAGATTGAAGACAGAACAGACGTTGGCATGTGGCACCATAAGATCTAATCGGAAAGGAATGCCAAATAATTTGATGAAAGATTCTGCAATTGCACGTGGGGAATACGACTGTCGTTTTTCTACTTCTGGTATTGGTGTATTCAAGTGGCGTGATAATAAAACTGTGCATTTCGCATCTAATTATCACGGAAACGAAGTTACAAGTGTTCTAAGAACGATGAAGGACGGTTCAAAATTAACAACAAAATGTCCTCCCGTGGTAAAAGACTACAATAATTTTATGGGAGGTGTCGATTTAGCGGATAGATATAGGTCATTGTACAATGTTGATCGGAAATCAAATAAATGGTGGTTGAGAATATTCTGGGGACTCCTCGACATTACATTTGTGAACACCTACGTCATTTACTGTGAGATGTTCGATGACACGGATGTTTTGGATGTACGTCGATCCATCGCACTTGGTCTTATGACATTACGCAGTTTACCATCAAGAAGATCAGTCAGTTTGAAAAGAGCAGCTCCTAAAACCCCAACAACTCGCAGAGGAAAACAGTTATCCAATACAAAAGATGTTAGATTAGGAAACAGGTACTTCAATAATAAAATTAAATTTTAAAAATAGGTAATGATAAACACAAATATTTTGAATTTTTTTAGAGGAATTCATTGGGTGGTCTACGGTGCCAATAGATGAAGGTGTGAACTGTGCAGTACACGGGGAATTGAGTCGAGACCGAAATCTAAGTGTTCACATTGTAGAGTATTCTTGTGCAGTAATGAAAATAAAAATTGTTTCAATGAGTATCATGAAGTAGAAACAGTAAACATTTGATTCAATTGTTTTTATATTATGTTTATTTCTATGATATATTATGTATTTTTTATAACTATAAAATGTACAGATTATAAAAAGATAAGTTTTTTCCATAAGATATAATACATTGTTAATTTAATATTCAATAAAATAGTATACAAATACGAGTTTCACAAAAAAAAGTGTATTTTAATTTACATTCATAGAATCCTGTCGGGACATCTAAGTCCCGACCAAAAAAAGGGGGCGAGGGGTGGTTAAAAAGTTTTGACAAAAATATAACGAATATTTCATGCATATAAAAAAAAGTCTATGAAAAAAAAATTCACTTTTTTAATTTTTTTTAGTCTCAGGAATGAAAGGGTTAATTGATATATTAAACAGTTTATTAAATAACTTGAAAAACAGAAAGAATGAACATTTTATTAATACTGAAATGGAGATAATGATTGATTCTATTGAAGAAGAGGGTTATTTAGTTAAAAAAGAATTTGATATAAATTGTCAAAAGTTTTACGATTTATGTATATCGTATATTCAAAAGTGGACATTACCTAACCAGGCACTAATGGTTGAATTAAATTGGTTGCACTTAACAAACAAAAATACAGTTACATGGAATAATGCTAAAAATATAATAAAGATGTTATCGAAATATGTTAAAGTTAATTAAGATGAATACTTTGATGAGTTTATGGCTTTTATAAACATTTTTCAAGACAAATTTGATGACTGGACAAAAAATGTTGTTTTAGTAGAACAAAAATGGGTACAAATATTTAATATATTTAAAGAAAAAGATGTAAATGTATCAAATCTGGCAATGGTTGTAGAGTTTGCATTTTGTTTACCGGGGTCAAACGCGTCAATAGAGCGAGTATTTTCTTTAATGACAACTACTTGGACTGACGTTCGAAATCAAATGGATACTAAATCAATAGAATGTTGTCTGATAACAAAAACATATGTATTGAGTTGCATTGAATTTTACAATTAAATAATAAAAAATTCTACACTACTTAAGAAAGTACACAGCACTGAAAAATATAAGGTCTCTTTGGACGACAAAAATAAAGAAAAATAATAAATCAGTAAAATCTACCTAGATTAGTATACTTATCTTAACGGCTGGAAATTGTATTATTGTTTTTATTTGAATTTTAAGTGTTCATAAAATAAAGATAGCCTATCTAATTGATTAATTTGAATATTATTTATACCTAAAAGTTATATACAGCTACCTATGTAATTATATAGTATATGCTTACTAGATATTAACCTATTTTTTATGAATTTTGCTGTCCCGGATTTCTAAGAATTAAATCTGGCCACCCTAATCTACTAACAAGCACCTACCACGACAAACATGACCACAAACAAAACACGTCTGCCAAAGGTTGTTTGCGGTGATTACTAGAAAATTGACACCTGCTGAAAAAATATAATTTGAGTAGTTGGCACTAGATTGCCACCGAATGTTATTTACCAGAAAAGCTAATTTTCAAGTTAATCAACCACGGAGAACTTCTAACACGTGGAATACAGCTGAACTCATAACAGACATACAAACATAATACATACACACCAAGGTATATGATGTTCATCCGAGGATGGTCAAAAACACAATAACCAGAACACCGACTCCTTTACCTCTCGTTTGGTGCTGGATTTTCTTAGTCTTGGAAGCTGTACTAAAAATTACAGAACCTTTACACAAACCTTTACGACAACACACACAACAAAACAAAGGCCTTAAACGACGGCACTCAAGCTTTATGTGTATAATAAAATTGTTATGGACTTATGGTTAAAAAAAAATAAATTAATAAAATTTGTTATGGTCTTATATTAAAGTTTAAATTAAATGTTATTTTTATAAATAAAATCTTGATTACCTTTAAGGAAAATTAATTTTTCAAACATTTTGTCAGATAGATTAGATCTACTAGGTGAGTGCACAAAACTTGCGAATGAAAATAAACGCTCAACGGGAGCAGATGAACAGAGACTTGTGTTATATTTTATAAATAGTTTTTTTATGGATGGATAATTATTTAAACAGTTTAATGATTTGTTATTGTCGTTAAAATATGTAATTAATTCAAGTTCATTTTGTGATTGCTGTTTATTTTCAACCTGAGAAGAAAATATTAAAAAACCGTCTTCAGAATCTCTACTAGATTCATGGTTACTACAATCATTAATAATTTGTTCTGTAGCATTTATACACAAATTTTGTATTATTTTTTTTTGGTGATCACTAATGTAATCTGGAATCCACCTTAGTTTAAAATTTGGATGGAAACATGTTGCTAGAATAGCTTCATTAATTTCAGGAGATAGTTCAAAAAATAAATTAAATCTTTTTGTAAGAGAGCTTATCAAAGGTGTAATTAAAAAAGCGCAATATTTAAAATTTTTTTCTTTTAAATGTTCTAATCGGGATTTTAAAGAAAACAATGATGGTGCTAAGATTCCGTAGAAACAATTATTTTGAGCTTGCAAACAATCTAGGGCGCAAGCTATTGGTTTTAGTAAAATTATTAATTCATCTAAATATACTAACTCTATGTCTTTAAAGCTACAGTTGACATTTAAATGTTGGAAAAGTATATTTAGTTTGTCCTTAAACTTTAATAATTGACTCAGCGCGTCGTACAAAGAATTCCACCTAGTTGGACATGGATAAAAAAGTGAACAACCTAATAAATTGTGTATGATTTCTGAAGATTTCGGTCGCCTAGACATATTCCACAATGTAGTACATTTACCAATAGCTCCATTATGTAGTCTACTAACTGATGAATTTTTTACTGCTTTTGAAAAATCTGTAGTTGCTATTAGACTAAGTGTGTGGCTAGCACATCGTAAATGACGAGGAAGAAATATTGCCTGCTCATTATTTTCAACATCTTCATCCACTGCAATAACTTGAAAATGTAAAGTTTCTTCCCCTTCTGAAAAAAATAAAAACAACAATAATAATAATTATTATTGTTATAAATATCGATAAAAATAAAACCTTCATCGTCAAGATGACAAGATCCATATCATCCGTCATATTATGGTCTTGAATGTCATATCCAAACTCTTTGAATGCTTTTATAAAATTAGATCCATTATCAGTTACGGTTGAAACAATTTGTTCACGAAGAAGTGAATACTCATTAAAAGTGTCCTGCAATAATTCTGCTATACGATCGTATGAATGTTTACCATTCATTCGTTTGCAGGAAAGTACACAGTTGCCGCGTTCTAATGTGTTTGTAGAAATCTAAAAAAAATAAATAAATAATTAGGCACATTTATTACGTAATTTAAAAACAAATAATTTTTATTATAGATATTATTTAATTAGTACCCAGTGTGCTGTGACGCCCATAAAACTTCGATGTTTTGTTGACCAAATATCCGCTGTTGTAGTTATAAGTGTTCGTGGTTCAGTTGTAAACACATTTTTAATCTTGTCAATAACATTTATAAAATCATCGTTAATACGACGACTTAGTGTTCTTCTCGAATACACTTGCAAGTCATTGTCTATGCCTAATTATTTTAAACTAATACAATTAACGGAAATTTTTGATATTTTGATATTCCTAATATTTGAGTATTAAGTGAATAATTTACCTTTTATTATTTTTACAAAATTGTCATCTTCAACGGTATACAAAGGCCTCATACCCAAAACAATATAACGCATTATATTTTTATCTAGTTCCCGTTGTTTATCTTGTTTATTAAAAAAACATATTTTTGGTTGTTTAAGTGGACATAAATCTACACTCGATGACTGGTCTAATGGTCTCTTACGCCTATGGTTGCTAGTTGCATTTTGTTTAATGTGCTCGTCGTATAATGTCAATTTTTCAAAATGAACTCTCTAAAAATGATTTTATAATAAAATAAATAAAAACATTTTATATACCTATATAATATATATAAATGTTAATAAATAATATAATAATACATTAATTTTATATGAAGTCGAAAATTTGTGGTGAATTTAAGAGATCCAGAAAGTATTTTATTTTCCTTTTTGACATCTTGGCATGTCGTACATAATGCTTTTACAGCGTAATCTGCAGACCCATTTTGTTCGTGAGACACAATTTAAAAAAATGTTCCATTCAATGATGGCGGAATATTAATATTTTTTTCAGTAAAAAAATCCATTAAAAAAAATTAAAAATAAATATTATGAAAATATTATTATGAAAAAAATCGTAAACGGGCAGTTGACACAGTGACACAGTAACACAGACAGAACGAATAGTATGGTACAACGTACAACAACGTGAATAGTATGCTGCAATTGCTTATCTTTACTTTAGATTTTATTTTCTATTTTATGTGGAAATACCTACACGGTTACACTCATATCTAGTACACATTTTTACAATAATAGTATCTTGTATCTTTTGGCAAAAATAGATACATGATACTAGTATATAATGTATCATGAATCATGATACATTATACATTAAAATTATGTATCATGATACAAGATACAATTGTATCTTTGATACTGCCCAACCCTGGTTAGTATTAATAAAAAACTAATGTGATAGTTAATACTGTTCTGTAATGAGATAAGTCTGCATTGTTATGTTAAAAGTTTAATTTTTAAAATCCTTAAATAATAAGAGTTACTTTTATGTTAAAATTACATAATTTTATACTTGTTTTTTTGTACGTGATTTCTGGCAATGTATCTTTTAAGATACAACTCATAACTTTGAACTTTCAAGTCCAAAATTTTTTTTCGATAACATTTTTGAATTCAGCGACCTTAAATTAGTTTGAAAATATCTACTTTACAATTTTCATTCAAATATTTTTATGCTTGCCAAGTTAAGGGTTAAAAAAGCACGGTATGGTATAAAGTTTTTCGAGCTCTGTGCACCCGATGGATTTGTTTTAAACATGGAGATGTATAAAGGAAAAAGAGAAGAAATTCAAGTTGGTTGCACATCAAAAATAAATAGTTTAGTTTTTCGTATTTTGGAACCTTTTCTTGATAAAGGGCATACAGTATTTATGGATAATTATTATAATAGTATAAGTCTTTCAAGATAACTCCTAAATGGAAAAACACATACAACAGGAACACTACGCAGTAACTGTAAAGGCAACCCAAAATGTGTAACCACAAAAAAGTTAAAATCTGTGGAATATATTTGGCGTCGACAAGAAAACATTTATGTATCTAAGTGGAAAGATAAAAGGGATTTATTAGCGATAACTACAAAGTACCCTCCACAGCTTTTATTATCCAAAAATCGATTCGGAAATGAAAAAAATAAACTAAATGAAATTATTCAGTATAATAATAATATGAGTGGTATAGATAGGTCAGACCAAATGGTAAAATATTACAGCAGCCCACAAAAACAATCACGATGGCATGAAAAAGTTTTATTTCATCTGTTAGATATTACAGTGTGAAATAGTTTTTACCTATACAAAAAACATTTTGGCTGCAATTCTATGACTTTTAAAGATTTTCGCGATGTTTTAATAAAAAATATGATAAACCTTCCAATAGATGTAACAGCTAAAAAAATTTTTAATGCGCCAAAATCAAAAGATCCAAAAAACAAACGACCAATGTCAGAAGAAGGACTACACTATCAAGAAAAAATCCCATTACCTCCACTGTATAAAAGAAAACATTACTTTAAAAACTGCAAAATGTGCACAAAAAAACAAGTGAGGAAACAAACCCAGGATCAATGCAAAGCTTGCAATGTTCCACTGTGTCCCGGTTCATGTTTTGAAGACTTTCACAAAAATATGTCATAAAAAAATTATTTCATTATTTTATATTATTTCATTGGTTCAATTTATATAAGACTATATTTTCATTTTTTTTTTTTAATTTCATAATATTCTTTTTCAAAATTTGTTATACAAAATAAACCAGATTGAGTTGAATTATTATTTTTATTATATTATTTAAAAAATATAAATTATACTGATTAGCAGTGCAGTGATGTACATAGTTGTAAATAGCAATGTAGAGGGACAGTACCCAAATTACTACTGCTATAGCAGTATTAATTATGTGCGTTTTTAAAAGTAGTTTTTTCCCCTTCCGAGAATCTCAAATGTCCACGAATGTGTTAAGATTCTTATAATTATTATATATTATTACTCATATTACAAAATGTATTATTTAATGTATATCTATTATTATGTTTTTACACATAGGTATTGCCATATTATTAATATTATTGTTATATTAAATACTATTATGTATGCATTAACTTAAAGTACTAGCTACTTATTACAACATGTTGTAGAAAATAGCATTTTGAATTGCACAAAACATTATTTTTAAGGAAAATGCACTTTTCATTTTGACACTTGGTCCTACAAACACATTTAAAAAATCATTGGTCCGTAATAGTTACTGTCGACTGTTCGTAACGTCACTTCTGTATCTGTTGGAACCACGTAAATTTGTAGTAGCTTTTTCTGACATACTGAGTACTAACTTCTGGGGTATAGCCGCTTCAGAACTTCAGAATTTTAATTCTTAGTGCATCAAATTGTGCACACACGGACACGGTATGCGCATTTACAATAAACTATAAGTTAAGTCGTTGGTAATAAGCGATACCCTGCAATTTTGTTTATTTTTGTCATAATTCCTACTCCACGTTGGGCATTATACATAATACCTAGGCAAAGATCATATTATGCCTAGGTATTTTGCAAAATACCGGATTATCCATATTGCCGGTAACATATATATCTAAAAAAAAAAAAATAAAAAAAAAATTTAATTTTCATTGACTTAAATTTTAACTTAACTGATTTATATTGATATAAACCTAATAAATAACAAGTTACTTTCAATTTCATTCATTCATAAACAATTAAATAATAAATATAATACAATTATTATTGATGATATATTTATATGTATATATTGCATTAACATTTAGTTTTATTATTTTAAGCCATATAACTCTCTGCTTAAATATTAAAAAATAAATAAATAACTTAACTTCAGTTAGTAAGTATCATTAACTTATCCGGGCTTAGTTTTTAATTGTAATAAGTTCTTAGAAAGAATAATTATCATGCTTTTTATGTTATGAGGGCAATAATTTTTCATAATATACATATACATTTTACTCAGTGTGAACATTAAACACTGTGTATCAGAATGTTTGAGCCAAGGATAATCTAATAATAAACAGCCAAATACAGTTCATATTATAAGAACACACATTTTTGGCACTTTAAAAAATATTTACACTTAAGTAACAATTACATTAATATACTTTAGCTACAGAGCTACAACAATTAGCATAACTTAAAAAAGATTTTTACAACTATTTTAAAAATAAATATTTAGAGCAGATAGTTAAAATAAAATTGTAGTTATAAGACAAGAGAAAAACAATATTAATCGAGATAATATAGTAATATAAATATTAAAAATATGCTTATTATGAGGACGTGATACCTGCATGTGTTGTCTCCGTCTTACAAGTGCGTAACATAGCAAATTGTACACTCAGCAGAACACATGTAGCTCCGTTAATTTAAAAATTAAATTGAATTAACCTCTTATAAAATCTAAAGATAAGATTATTATCTAGGCAACCTTATGGGCTTTTTATTATATTTTTATTTTAACGCGAGTTATAAGTATTTTAAGATGTACATTCTGCTGAGCGTATAATTTGCTATGTTACGCACTTGTAAGACAGAGACAACACATGCAGGTATCACGTCCTCTTAAGGTACCTTCATAACATTACATTTTCATACATTGTCAAGTTTTACTAATATAATATTGTGCTAAATAAATTTTTTTTGAATAATTTCATTTATTGATAACTATATATTTGTTTAATAAGAATATAAATGTCATAAAATATCAGAAAAAAGGCAACTAGTATAGTAGTAACTATAATTTATTTTAACTAGATGGAGCTACAAGACTTGTTTCTCACACACAATTAAAGTTAATTTTGAGACTTCTGTAAGGATGTGCACATTTAAAAATACATTTTGAACACATAAAGCCTACTCTTTAAGTATGATTTGTGAGCATAAAAAAGCTGAACCACAGCCATTTAAGAATTTATTAAAATGAGGTTTTTAACAATGCACTTAATGAAAAAACTTATAATGCTATCAAATGTAATACTGAGGATGAATACAACTGTCAAAGTAATGCACGATCAAGATTTATTTTATTGTTATTCATAGAAATACCTTCTCAAGTTGATACCAACTTAAATCTTTAAGTCCCTTAAGTAGATAAGATACTAATTCTAATGGCTTAAATTTGATTAAAATATGTTTATTTCTTAACTCAAGCTCAAAGATAGTATAATAGTTTAGGGCCTTTGAGCATCCTGTCAATATATTTAACAGTTTTGTAAAGAAGAAATATAATTAAAATACAATTATTCATAATCTCATATTTACAATTCATATTTTGCTTTGACAAAAAAAAAAATTGAAGTTAAGATACAAACTGAAGCTTATGTCTACCTATACAAACTTAAAATATTTTTTGTTCATGCGTCTTTATGTACATTTTATTTGGATTTATTTATTTGTATCTTCAGTTTGTTTTTGTGGTATATCACTTTGGCAGACGACACAGTTTCAGATTCCGATTTTGATGATTCTAGAAGATTTGAATTAATTAGGGGTTCTGGCATCACTGGAGTGTCCTTTGGTTTCACTAAAATAATTTAATTAATTAATTAATAATCGCACATGGTTATACAGATAAAATATTTACCTGTTTGTAACTTTTCCAATTCAATTATTTTCTTTTTAAGTCTTATGACTTTTTGCCTCATTTTAAACATTGTAATAGCATTACTTTCTTCTTGAATTAGTTGGAATAACAAATTAACTTTCGCTTGATAATATTTTTTTAATTCCATGAATTTTTTTTCAATTGATAGATGGAATTCTTGATAGTTATTATTTAAAGAGATAATAGCATGTTTTTGTCTATCATTTATTGCCTAAAATTGTTTTGAATTTATATTTATTAAAAATAAACTAGTTACATTCCATACGAAATTAAAATATATATTTGTTGGTACAAATACTCACATCGAGTTTAGATATTATTTCATCATTTTCTCGTCCGGTTTCTTTTAGGTCTACAACTTTGATAAAATAATGTACCAACAATTTCTTCAGTTCATCTATACTTAAAGTTGACAGACACTTCCAAAAAATTGATGTTTCATTTGAATTCTGTAAACAATTAATATCCATATTATATAATAATTTTTCAGAAATACAAGGTGCTATTTAATAGTGCATTGTATTGTTATTTATTACCGTTTGAATAAAATGTAATAAATTTTTGTCATTATTGCACACATTATTTTTCAATTCAATTAAATAATCTATGGAATCAATTGCTTCGTCATTTTCTAAATATTTTCGAATATCTTCTTTGAATAAGTTATTTTCCTTGAAAACAAAAGTATAATTTGAAATATTATTATTTATGTTTATAAATTGGACATTATATAAAAAAATAAGAATTAAATGTAATATTTTAAATTACAGGCTTCTTTAAAATCCTAACATTAATAATACTTAAATATTAGTTAACTTCAAGATTATTCTTAATGTAGTAAAATGAAACTATTTTTCATGTTTATACAGTAAATAAACTTAAAATCTTATTAAATAAAAACCTTTTGATATTTGGGATTAAACATTCCTCTAGGACGCAAACTTAAAATTTCATTTCTTAAATTTTGCAAGTCCAAAAATTCTTTTTTTAAATTATCATTTTCAATTATATTTGACGATGTATGGACTCTAATTTTTTCGATGCTTGTTAAAACCTAAAATTTCATGAAATGTACAGAAATTTTTTAAATTAATTTCATAAACATAGAATATTATGTACTCTTACTTACCCCCAAATTTGATAAATTAATTTTCAGTTGATTAATTCGTTTTTCATGTTGTATTAATAATAATGAAACTTCTTGTTTATTTCTTATATGATTATTTAGTTGGTCATAAAATATTTTTAAGCGATCATTTGAAGTTTGTAATGCAATTTGATATTGAAGTAATCTAAAACAAAACATTCATTATTATTTATTGAGACAAATTTACAATTTTTAAAAGTAAATACTTTTCTGTACTATCACTGGCAATTTTTATAATATCATTCATTTTTTTAATTTTGTCTTCATATCGTAATAGCCTATTATTTGTTCGCTCTCCATAATCTGCATCTTTACTAGTTCCATTACCATAATTAGTTTTTGATTTGTTTGCCTGACTTAAAATTTTAATATATTTTTTGTTTATTCTATTGTACTCTTTTTCAACTTTTTCTTTTGCATTCCATCTGACTTCTGCATATCTGGCAGTTTCGCTGATAAAATTTTTCTAAAAAAATTCAAATGTTTAGCAATTTATATAATTTTGTGTTTTAAAAATTAATAGTGAATAATATGATAAAAATGATAACATAGTTACCTTAATTGATATTATATCTTCTAAGTGTTTAATATTATTTCTTAATCCATCTTCATTAACAGTTATTATGCTCAATTCTTTTCTTTTTAAATCTACTACTTTTGTTAAAGTTTTTAATTCTTCTCGCTGTTTAGTAACATTGTCTAAACTTTTGTTACTATCAACATTATTTTGTGAAATATGTTGACTTGGATCAAATTCAGAATCTAAAAATTATTTTTAAATTAATTACAATTTAACTACAAATATCAACAATTTACTTTTTGTCGTTTGGCCAAAGGTATTAACATGAGTTTTTTTTTAATGTTGGTATGGGAGGTGAAACATGATTGCGTACAATTTTTATCTGCGACTTTGAAGCTTATTGCCACTAAGGGTAATTGGATATTCGGGAACAAGAGCCATCCAAAAATCCTTGGTAAAAATTAAACTATTACTTTTTATAAATGATAAAATATTGATTTTTTTAACCATTCATATTTTAGCTACCTAACATTTTAATTATTTATTTTTTAATATGACAAATGGATGACGCTCAATCCAATAGTTCTCCACTTTTGGCTATCATATAGTATTCTGTCTACCGGCAGCTATAGGTACGGTCTACCTGCAGTCAGCCAGTTTTTTCACATACATACACTCAACAGATCGAAAGCTTAGGGAGATCATCCCGTTTAAAAGTAGTTAAAAATATGTTTGGTGGCAAAGAATAAATAAATCAGATTTATTTAATGCATTTTTTAAAGACATGGCAGATGTTTTTGTACTCTGAGCAGTTTTTAAATGAAAGAACATAAAACAACACAATAGGTATTCCATATACAACAATTTTGACACAATTGATAAACATAATAATTTATGACCAAAAAGTTATTTTTTTAAATTTTTTTTGTAGAATGATAATATTATATAGTCTATAATTTTTAATCAAATTTAATTTATTGCGGTAGACCGTATACTATCTATATTTGTAAATCTCCGGTAGACTGCATGCTATATAACAGCCCATCCTTCTGTCCATGTAGTTATTTTAATTCCAAAAGAAACACAAGAAAAATATGTGCAAAACTACAACAAGTATTCATAGAAAGTTGAGTTAATTTAACCAAAAAATTCATAAAATTATTGTAACAAATGTTGTCAAAAAATAGTTATTGAAGCAGTACCAAAGCATACAATTTTAAATTGAATACACATTAATAATATATTATCTTAGTTCTTCATAGTTTTTAATTATTTAATTTTATATAGTAATGTAAAAATTTATTTTAAAGTAATATTAAAATAAAATAAAATAAAAAAATAAGTTTTTAAAATATAATATATTTATAGATACAATAGATACATAATATTATTATATTTATTATAAACTAAAAACATAAACATGGCAAAGTTGCATAGCAAATCATACGCAATAGTTTGTCTTTTAAAGTTAATTGTTTAACGCACACAATTGTGTTCGTAAAAAGGTGCATTGTATGGAATTGTGTGATATCCAACTGGGGAGCATTGACATAATATATAATAAGGTTAGTACCAATGTTTTTTCTTTGTTTTATATAATAAACCAAAATAATTATTATATAAACTCATTTAGGAAATATTTATATATCATTGCTAAAAATGAAATGTAAACAGTGGTGTGGTGAACGTTATAAACAATTTTATTGTATATATTTCAGTACCTACCCACTCTTAATCCTCTTAATAAAATATAATTATTAAGTGACGATTAATATGTTTGTTGTATTACTTACTACCAACCACCAGCCAAAAATAAATCTAATCTGTGTCTTAAAAACTAACAAAATACACTTCTACTATTTAAGAAATAGCCAATGAAAAAAATAAAAGTTACAGCTCAGATGCATTAGGTGTCGAGTGGGCACTTCAATGGATGGTGTTAAATTTGAAATCAATGTACATCATTACATAAAAAATACGATTCTGAGAGGAGATGGTCATCAGCCTACATCAAATACATTTCATGATATGTTTTTAGATATTCCTATAAATATTGTGTGTTTCCCTTATAATATTACAGCAGATTGATTTAATTTATGAATTTTTTTTTATTTAAAACATTGCATTTATTATAATATTTTGTAACATATCAAATTATTGTTATTTAGATAACTTTAGAACAGTGAATACTGAATAGGTCCATATTATTTATAGGTAATAACTACAATTAATCTAAATACAGTAGACACCGCTTATAAGACTCATTTTAGGACCAGCACAAAGTGAGTCTTATAACCGAATGAATCTTATAGGCGAAGTGGAAAAAAAAAATAAATTACGTATTTATAAATTTTATTTTACTACATATTTTGCTTTGATTTTAATACTTTAACACATATTACATATTGCATACTTTATTATTGAATAAATTTAATAATCCTGATAAAAAAAACTAAAATTATAATAGGTAAATATTACATATAAAAATATTATAAAAATTATACATTAATAAAAAATTATAAAGGTTACGTATGGTATATACGTATGTGTATTTATGTACCCGTAATTGCGATAACTGTGCAGCCGCCAGATAATCAGATACCTCACTATAATAACGATAATCGTTGCGATAAATGTGAACTTTTATCTGTGATAAAAATTATTATACGTTATAAGGTACAACAGAAACTAGGATTAATCAACACGAATATTATTTAATTTTTCAATACCAATTTATTTCTAAATTATAACCAAAAAAGTTTATTTTCTACTATTTATTTTACGAAATTTGAGTCTTATAACCGAAGCGTTGAGTCTTATACCCGATTTTTTTTTAATGTATTTTGATACGTCCGGTCCGTTCCAGACGATTTTGAGTCTAATAAGCGACTGAACCTTATATCCGTGAGTCTTATAAGCGGCGTCTACTGTATTTTTAAAATATCACTGTACTTATAAAGTTCTTAAAAAATGCAATGTATTTTATACCAAAGTTATAACACTAATACTCTATAAAATATATTAGGTACACAAGAGAGATGATTGTAGAAAGTAATACAATCATTGTTATAAGTTAACTGACTAAAATCATTAATTTAATAATATACATCTAGTATGAGTAAACTTGTAGTGAAGCTGAAAAAATAAGGATTTAAAAAGTTTTTTTAATATTAATGTACAACTAGCATAAGGTACCTACTTATGAAATAATATTAATAGGAAATGCTAACAAAAATGAATAGTTTAATTATCATGCCAACCAAATTGTAGAGCACTTAGAACAAGGAACATGGCAATATTTGGCTCCATCAGCAGACGGCCACGGTGAACACTGTATATTATGATTAATTTAAAATGTATGAAACTGGACAACACTTGGACATTCAATTAATAAGAACGGCAAATAAAGATAATGTTTTAATGACTACCTATTCATAGATCAAATGTATGGATAATATACATTTCAAACAATACTTTTATTCATCCATAGGTGAATAAATAGTTCGATTATGTGTTTCAATTGGTCTAGTTTATTTTCATAAACATTTATAAATACTTGTTGAAATATTTTTAAATGTCAATTTAGCAAAGGATAATACAAAATCTATTAAGTTAACTTCATTATACGAGGTGTGGCTATTAAATAACGAGACTATCTACTTAGCGATAAGGCATGAGTAGATAAGGGTATAATGGTAGTATATTTGTAATCTATGAATATCACTGCATTGAACAATACCAGTTTAGTCAGTTTCCGTTTAGTAATCTATGTGTAAGCGTCGTTTAAATTGACCTCTTACGTGTTGAATGTCGAAATCATGCCGGATGAAAAAATTGAACAACGTATTAACTTAAAATTTTTAGTGAAACTTGGAAAATCTGCGACTGAAAGTTTTAATTTATTAACTGAAGTATATGGAGATAGTGTCCTATCACGACCACGTGTTTTTGAGTGGCACAAACGATTTCGTGAGGGTCGTGAAGAAGTTGAAGACAATCAACGGGTGGGTCGTCCATGCTCCTCAAAAACTAACGATAACATTTCAAAAATCAATGAAATTTTGCGAAAAGATTGACGTCTGAGTATTCGAATGATAGCTGAGATGGTTAATATCGACAAGGAGACTGTTTGACAAATTTGGCCTGAGTTGTGGGAAAATGACTCTTGGATCTTGCATCAAGACAATGCGCCGGCTCACAGTGCCTTATCTGTAAAGCGATTTCTAGCTAAAAATCGAACTCCAGTGCTTCAACACCCCCCATATTCACCAGATCTCGCTCCATGCGACTTTTGGCTTTTTCCAAAACTAAAAAGTGCGTTAAAGGGCACACATTTTGAGTCAGTTGAAGCTGTAAAAACAAAAGCGACAGAGGTGTTAAAGACATTGCAAGAAAAGGATTTCCAACACTGTTTCAACCAATGGAAAATTAGAATGGAGCGATGTGTCAAACATGGAGGGGAGTATATAGAAGGGGAAAAATGTTAAACCATTAAAAAATATAAATAAAAAGTTTTTACAGAGAAAATCTCGTTATTTATTAGCCACACTTCGTACTACATAATGGTACAGAAGAAAACGTATGAATAATATGATTAATATTTTTGAAATGTAATTTTTTAATAGAAAAATATGATATGTTTAATACAGAAATAATGAATAATTGTCATTAAATTCAGTGATTATGACGAATACTTACAGTCAATGTTATGAATGAGTTCGTTGGGTGTTTGAGTAATACTTGTTCTGACGAGATAATCGAATCGATAGTTGATGTACTTGTTGTATGTGTCAAGTACACTAATTAACTTCTGATCGAATTGTATTTCATTTATAATATTGGCAATGTTTATACCCATTTTTGACGGACAGACTAAGACAGTTTACGATAAGTTTAAGTTTTAATTATCTACTACATGTTTGGTTTAATATGAAGTGAAAAGACCGCTGTATATAAATTTTAAGAACCAACAGCCGCAAAACAAAAATTTATATTATAGTAATTGCCCGTACGTTATAGTAGCAGAAACACTGAATAAAAAGATTACAAAGATGCGAATATTAAATAATAAGTTCTCGCTGAATGACAACAAAATCGAGATAGTTGAGGCGTAATCACGAATCACGACGATCTGCCGTCAATGCTGTTGAACGTACGTTTTCATTTTAGTTACAGGTGTGCGTAACGTTTCGTAACGTTTGGACGCCAGTAACTATTATATTATTGTGGAGGTTTCCGCGTTATCAGTGGACAACCTCCAATAGTCCGTCAGCACTAGACAGTAGACGTACAAAAATTATTTGTTTAATAAATACCGCTAGACGTTTGTTTAAAGTATAAATTACTTATTGAATATAGATAAATGCGGTGGCGAATTAATATGATATAACAGTTACATTTTGTTATGAGCCTTGTCGTTACCGGTATTCGGATAATTAACACCTAACAATTTTGTCGATATTAAACTTTCTGCACCTGATATTTTTAGAACATTCACTATTGACACCGAGCAATTACGATCATGAATACGATAACAGTAAGTAGGTAAAAGTGGCTATCGGCCCAAACAGCTCTCGTCCATTGCTTGCTTATTCCCACACGGCTCCCGTCGAAATGGAAAAATTAATTTTGTTTTAAGTAGGTACAGGTTATTATGATAAATAAGTGTAAAAATAACAAATATTGAAGAAGTTCTTTCTATAATTCCATACACTTATCTACAAGTTTTAGTAATTTTAAAGTTTCAATTAGATCATCAATTATTGTGGACAGATTTCCTATTCAATATTTATTTTTAACAATGCCTCTAAACACTCTTGGAGCAATGTGCTTCTAAGTTTTGTTTTAATGAAACTCAACAAAATGTCACTCGCACAAACGACTTATAACTGGATAGTTACAAATTCTTTTAAAACTTGATAGATATTTTTTAATATATGGCATCTCTTCAAAATCAACCAACCACTATCCAATTCTCACATGTATTTATTTTTTCTTTACTAATTGAATAATTTGCTTTGAATAAACTAATCTTAGTCTTTTGCTTATTTAAATTGCAATTCCAAATATTGTTGAAATTTTTTTCCATCTTCTTATTAAGATACTTTGTATTGATATAGTTTATATTGGTGTACCTATTATATTATTATAAGTTTACAAATTGTACACATATATTTATTTATACATACATATTATATATATTATATGATGTAAAGATACAAAATTTAAAATTAAAAAAAATATATATTTGGTATTCATTCAAATAAATGATGAAATAACAAGATACAATAGTTATACAATGTAATGAGTCCCATTGCACCAAAATGTATCTATAATTGTACCGCAGTAATGTAGGTAATAACCTAATAAGATGACATAAATGGTTATAGGGGAAAATCATAGACTAAACCTGATATACATCGGTTATTTAATAGTTTTTTTCAAAGAATTTTCTCAACATTAATTCATTAATTAATTTTTGAGTTTCATTGTATGTGATTTTATACGCACAAAATTAAAAGTATTCATTCAAAGTTTAATGAAAAATGTTTTCATACTCCGTTTTTTTTTCAATAACAAATGATATTTTTGTACAACACAAATTGCACATAATTTTAAATAAAAATATACTATCCTATCTATTTATAATACATTATGTCTATTAAATAAATATCCAACAGTTGTGTCCCTCTGTTGTCTTCCAAGAATTAAATCTGTAGTGCGATTGTTATCAACTAATAATGTTTGGTCTTCCATCATTCCCAAATTACCAATTTCTTCATCATCATGCATAGGAATATTATTTTTAATACATCTATTATGCAAGACCATGCATACATTTATAATGGCAGTTGATATTTTGGGTTTGTAATGCAATGTCCTGTCTTTTAATAAGCATCTAAAACAAAGTTATTTGGTGTTTAAACTATGTAAAACAATATAATATACAATATTTTACGAACACGTTAATTTTCAAACGACTCCCGTCGAAAAGGTATTATGAAGTATGAACAGGTAAATTTCCTAACGGCTGATTCTAATATCAGTATACCAATACACCGTATACCATTGTATAATTTAAATTTAACCAAACAAATAGAACACATTGACAATATCGAAAATACCAAAACATTGAACATAGGTATTATCCATACCAGCATTAATATTAAAAATTTGGGCTGAGTGTTTAGCTTATCTTTCTTTGACCAAAAGTGGCTATAAATCTTTCCACCCCAGATATAACAGCGAATTCAATTCTGCTCATCCTAATATTTTTAAGGTTATTGACTACTAACACAAATACAATCCGAGACGCAATTTAAGGCTCAAAGTCATAAATTTACCTAATATATGGTTTTTTTTATACTTTTACTTCAACATACATACATTTTTGTATGTTACACTAGTTACAAGTTAATATCCAACCATAACATAACACAGTTTGTTCAAATTTTTTTAAAAACAATTCAATTTGAATTTAGAATGTTCCCATATAATTGAAATAATAAATAAAAAATTAATAATTTATGATTATATTTATCTGTTTCAAAAAAGAAGTTGGTGATGGCCTTAGTACTTGTGTTTAACGAAAGAAACATTGCAAAGGTAGGGTAACGACAAATTCATCCTGAAAAGTATGTATTTTACAAATACATATGAATACAAAATTAATACATTAGATTCTATTTTTAGGCATATGATTGTTTGAATGATGAAGGTTATAAGCATTTTAAAGTCAACCATTGCGTTAACTTAAAAGCTCCAGATACCAATCAGCATACAAACATGATCGAGGGACTATGGTAAAATTCAAAATATTCACTGCCCCAGTATAATAAAAAAACATTTATAGCTAAATGTATGTTTTTAAAACAATGTAAGGCATTAAATATTGATCCGTTTACTGAGTTTATATGAATTGCAGATAGTCTATGAAACCCAATTACAGCAGCATACGTTGATAATGATAAAAATGATAGTGACGATGATGAGAACGATACATACATTTAGATATTACATTATTAAAAGTATTTGTGTGATCTAATATTTGTAAATGTAAATCCAAAATTAACTTAATTGCTTATCCATCACCACATTAGGTGTTGCAATGTAACCAGAATTATGTTCTCTTGGTGGTACATAATTTGTATCTGTAGTAACGTCACCATTATTAAAAATTAATGGCAGTTGGTCAAAAATATCTAAAATAAATACAGTTAAACTATTAGGTACATTACTATCAAAATGTATAAATAATTAATTTCACTATAAAATTATGTTTACCTAGTTAGTACCCTTAGTAAGTTACCTAAAGTTATAATGATACTTTTATAGTTATATGCAACATTTTAATTTGTAATTAATTAATTTACGAAATTGCTACCTTTTTACATAATTAATTATGGATGGTATATTCACTTGTATTACCAAATAAATTGGTAAAATTAAAAAAAGTATTGAAATACTTGCTTAAAATTTGTAATTGTTCTTAAATATGTTTTTCCTTAAGAAGTATATGATATTAAATGTATTTAAAACACTTTTTGAATGAATGCATTTGTATCTGTATTTAAAGAGAATTTTAAGACTAATTTTTAAAAGGCATTCGAAATGTGGTGGTGAAAGTGCTAGATTTGTTAAGACCAATTTACACTTCTGGTCATAAAAATCAAAATAATTTTACAGCTGCACAAGGGCTATTTAGTTATAATTAACCGTTAGAACGCCAGTCCACAGCATTACTAAAATTAGTTGTCCAGATGATACTTGAATCCTTCATTAAAAAATAGGGATCTCTTGGACCTAAAACCTCAATTTTGTCCAAATATCTACGCTTTACATTACCCGTCAGACTCCTAGCATGATTACTTAAATAATCAGTCATTATAAGGTATGTACAATGTACAATGTCACAAAATTAACCAACTATTTTAACCTAAATATGCTATAAAAGATGGCCGAGGACTACGAGTTGTATGCAGCCCTTCACAAGATCATGTCTACGTTTTTGCTGAACAGCGGTCCGTTAGGTTTGGTTAAGAAAAAATAAAATTATTTAAAGACATATTATTTATTATTTTTTTAGTCATTAAAGAAGATGATAAGATTCATGATAAGATAATGATTAACTGTCCTTTTTGTGATGTTAAATGTATATACGAAACATCTTTACTTATACACATCAATCAAGTCCATATGACTGTAAGACCGTCAAATATAAGAATAAGCCGTTAGGAGGTAAACAATGCATTATATTCTTACACAAACAAAAATAGCAATTTTTCTTTACAAATATTATGATTAAGGTCCGGATTTCAATGCAAAGTGCATTTTTGGGACATTTTTTCCTTTATTATGCATTTTTAGCAATTTTTTGACGTTTTTAATGAATTTTTTTTATTTGTTACGACATTTTTGACCTATTTCTGGTATGAAAAATCCTATGACTAAATAAATTGAACTCATTGAAATCTGTACAGCAGAACGGCATCCACTTGCCCACCTTTTTTTTAATAAAATAAACATATTTTATTTATTAATTCCAAATTAAAATACCAAATTTTACAAGAAAAATATTATAAAATGTCATCTTTCAAGTCATTTTTGTGGTAATATGCATTTTTTAAGGATATTTTCGGCTATTTCTTAGAGCATATTTGTATGTTTTTAAGTGTATTTAAATCCGGGCCCTAATTAAAATATTAACATTACAAAATGCTGTCGAGGAAGTAGGAATAAAAATTACATTAATTCATGGTTATTTTAAATATAATTTATTTATTTATTTATATAAAATCCATTTGATTTTTAAAGGATTTGGTAATGATGATTGCTTCGGCATTATCGACATTAAATAAA